GACAGGTAAGACAGGTGGGACAGGTGGAACAGGTGAGACACATGGGGGAGAAAAGGGGGAGAAACGGGGTAAAAAGGGGAGAAACGGGGGACAAATGTCCTGGACAGGTGAGACAAGTGGGACAGGTGAGACAGATGAGACGGGGGGGAAATTGAGGGAAATCAGAAGGAATCAGGGAAAATTAGGGAAAAATCGAGGAAAATAGGGGAAAACTGGGGGGAAATGGAGGAAAAGTGGGGGGAAATGGGGCAGAGGGAGGAGAAGGCGGGAAGCGCGGGCGGGCGGCCCCTCACCTGCGCACTCGACGCCCACGTCCTCGCCGTGGCCGCAGTTGTGTTGCCCCCAGGGCCGCGCCCGGCACTGCTCCAGGTGCCCCTCGTGCCCCGCGCACTTCACCTCGTCCAGCCAGATGGGTCCCTCCCCCTCGCCATACCTGGCGCCGGGGGCGAGCGCCCGCAGCCGCCCGCAGCCCACCTGGGCGCAGGTGACCTCGCCCTCGGCCACGCCCCAGCCGTCATCGCACACGGTGCCCCAGGTGAGGTTGTGCAGCACCTCGACTCGCCCCGAGCAGCCGTCGGGACCCCCCTGGAGGCGCACGGAGACCCCCGGGGGGGACGGGGACACACCTGGGACAGGGAAAGGGAACAGGTGAGCTCAGGGACTGCCCCGGAAGCGCAGGGAGACCCCCCAAAAGGGGGAAATTGGGAAAAGCGGAGAAAAAAAATGGGAAAAGGGAAGAAAAGTGAAAGGAAAATCAGGGGAGAATGAGGGGAAACTGGGAAAAAGTGGGGAATAACGTGGAAAACTTGGGAATATTGGGAAAAACTGTTGGAGTTGAAGGTCCTGGGGCTGGGAAATCACGTGACCGGGCTCAGCCGGGTCCCCAAACAAACCAAAATGACCCAAAATTGCGACTTTGCCCCCAAAAAATCGATGTGGGGCCGAAAAGGGGGAATTTGGCCCCGAGCCCAGGAATTCCTGGGGAAAAAAAAACTAGGGAGAAATGGTGGAAAATCATGTTTTTCATGGGTTTTTAAGGGAAGGGGCAGGGGAGAATGTTGGTTTTGGGGCAAATCCTTTGATTTCAGGGTAAAATCCATCAATTTGGGGCAAAAGATGCCAATTTTGGACTAGAATTCTTTGACACAGGGCAAGACGTCAATTTTGGGTCAAAATATGTCGATTTGGGGGCAAAATATGTTGATTTTGAGGTAATATTTAATTTTGGGTCAAAATCCTTCAGTTTTAAGTCAAACCCCTCCAGTTTTGGGTCAAAATCCTTCAATTCCAGGTCAACCCCCTTCAATCTGGGGGCAAAATCTTTCTGGTTTGGACCAAAACCTTCACTTTTGGGTCAAAATCCTTCAATTTTGGGTCAGAATCCCCCAAACTGGGTCCCCAACCCCCCCGGACCCACCATGATGTCACTCACCGCACAGGTACGTCACGGCCAGGAGGGTCCTCAGCGCCGCCCCCCTCCAGGTGAGGGGGTCCCCCCTGGGGAGGGTCCGCTGCCCACCTGAGCCCCCCATCCCGGCCCAGGTGAGCCGGTCCCAGGTGGGGGGGGGGGGAGGGGTCCCGGCATTCAACTGGGAGGGCGAACTGGGGTGGCCCCTCCCGCCCTGGACCTGCGCCAGGTGTCCAGGTGACCCTTTCCCCCCCCCCGGTGACCCCGCGGTTGCATCAGCGGCTTTTCCAGGAAGAAAACCGGGACAAACCCAGGAGGGTCCAGAGGTTCCCCCTCCCCCACCCCCGGCACGCAGAGGGGGCACCTGAGGGGGCCGCACCTACTTCGGGGGGGCAGGTAAATCCCACCTGGGGGGCTCAGGTGTGTCTCAGGGTCCCTAAAACCGCTGGGGGGGAGGCTCAGATGTGTCTGGGGGCCCCCAGGTGTGTCTGGGGGGGGCTCAGGTGCGTCTGGGGGTTCCCAGGTGCGACTGGGGGGGCTCAAGTGTGGGGGAACTCAGGTGTGGCAGGTCCTTAAAGCACTGGGGGGGGGGCGTAGGTGTGTCTGGATGTTCCCAGGTGTGTCTGGGGGTCCACAGGTGTGTTGGGGGGACTCAGGTGTGACTGAGGGTCCTCAGGTGTTGGGGGGACATTCACCTGTCCAGGACATACCTTCTCACCTGTGCAGGATACACCTTCTCACCTGTGACGTCACCTGTTCTGGATAAACATTCTCACCTGTGCAGGCCACACCTGTGCCCACCTCAGCCCCTGCTGGGACCTCAGCTGTGCCCAGGTGTGCACTCCCGACATGAGGCTCCTTTACCTGAAGAGCCACCTGGGGCTGCTCCTCTACCTGTCCCTGAGCGGTGAGTGGGGAGGACACAGCTGGGGGGGGACAGCTGAGGTGGGGACACACCTGGACATCGGGAGACACTTGGACTTTGGGGTCACACCTGTCCCTGGGGTCACACCTGGACTTCAGGGTCACACCTGAGACACACCTGACCCCCTCCACACCTATCCTGACTCTCCTCTTGTTCTCTCCCCGCCCACCCAGGTCCCACCCTGGCCCCGCCCTCACCTGTCCCGCTGCGCCTGGCGGGCGGCCCTGGGCGCTGCGCGGGGCGCGTGGAGGTGCTTTACCTGCACAGGTGGGGGACGCTCTGCGGCCACACCTGGGGCCTGGCCGAGGCTCAGGTGGTCTGTCGCCAGGTGGGCTGTGGCCCCGCCCTGTCGGCACCAGGCGGGGCCCACTTCGGGCAGGGGGAGGGGCCAGTGTGGCTGGACCGGGTCACCTGCACAGGCACTGAGGGCCACCTGGGCGAGTGCCAGGTGGGGCCCTGGGGAGAGGCCAGCTGTGAGCACGGCGCTGACGTGGGCGTGGTGTGTGCAGGTGAGGTGGGTGGGGCTTGGGGAGGGGTGGGTGGGGGCTCAGGGAGGTGGGGAAGGGGGGGTTTACCTGGCTGGACCTATCTGTGACCACACCAGAGCCCAGGACCCTCCCAGACTCATCTGTTGGCCCCAGAACACCTTTCTCCACCCCATCACTGACCTAAACCCACCCAGAACCCCTTTTCCTGCCTGAAGCCACACCCCAGCCACACCTGGAGCCCCGCCCAGGTGCGCCACACCTGTCCTGCCCCGCAGGTGCGGAGGCGGCGTCGCAGCTCCAGGTGCGCCTGGCCAACGGCTCCAGCGCCTGCGCGGGGCGTGTGGAGCTGTTCCGCGAGCACAAGTGGGGAACCGTCTGCGACGACACCTGGGACCTGCAGGACGCGCAGGTGATCTGCCGCCAACTGGGCTGCGGCCACGCCCTCGCCGCGCCCGGCCACGCCCACTTTGGCCGGGGGGCGGATCCCATCTGGCTGGACGGCGCCCACTGCACAGGTAGGGAGCAGGAGCTGGTGCAGTGCCAGCTGCACACCTGGGGTGAGCACGACTGCAACCACGGCGAGGACGCGGGCGTGGTGTGCACAGGTGAGGCGCAGGTGGGCGCAGGGGAGGCGGGGGGGGACTGTGGGGTGGGAGGGGGGAGCGGGAGGGGCGGTGGGCTCAGGTGTGCTCAGGTGTGGGGCTGGAGGGGGTCTAGGGGGTGCTCAGGTGGGTCCAGGGGGGATTCTCAGGTGTGCTCAGGTGTGTGCCCCTCCCTCGCAGGTCCCAGCCCCCTGCAGGTGCGGCTGCGGGATGGCCCCGGGCCCTGTGCGGGGCAGGTGCAGGTGCTGCACAACCACACCTGGCTGGGTGTGTGCGGCCGCACCTGGAGCCTGCTGGAGGCACAGGTGGTGTGCAAGGAGTTGGGCTGTGGCCCCGCCCTCAGCGCACCTGTCGGCGCTCACCTGGCCCCGGGGGCGGCGCTGGAGGGTCTCACCTGTCGGGGCTCTGAGATGCTGCTCCTGGAGTGCCTGAGGGAGGGGGCGGGGCCAGGCACCTGCCACGCAGGTGGGGCTGCCCGAGTGGCCTGCGAGGAGCTGGAAGGTGAGGCACCTGTGGGTACCTGTTCTCACCTGTCCTCACCTGTACGTCATCATCTGTCCCCTGTGCTCACCTGTCTCACCTGTCTCACCTGCAGACCTGCTGGGCTCCTGTTCGGTGCTGGAGGGGCTGCTGGGGGTGGTGGTGGGGCTCTGCGGGGTCCTCCTGGGGCTCTACCTGTGGGCTAGGTGTGCCGGGCGGGGCCGGCGCTTCACAGGTAAGGCCGGGGGGAGGGGCAGGGTCTCCCCACAGACCCCCCCAAACCCCCCCCGACCCCCCAAACCCCCTCCCAAGACCCCCAAAGCCCCCCCAGGAGCCCTCAACCCCCCTAAAAAACCCTCCCAAGCCCCTCCAACCCCTCAGGATCCAATAGGAGACCACAGGGACCCTCCAACCCCCTCTCAAACCCACCAAAACCCCCTGCAAAACCCCTCCCAAGACTCCCAGGACCCCCTAAGAACCCCCAACCCCCCCCAAACCTCCCCCAAATCCCTCCCACTCCCCCCAAGACCCCCCCTAAACCCCTCCCAAGACAACCAAGTCCCCCCAAGACCTCCCTGACCCCCTCATATTTTGCAGACAAGCCCCTGCTCCAGATGCCAGAGGAAGCCGGGACCTCACTTGAGCCATAGGAGACCCCCCCAGAATCACCTGGGACCAGCCCAAAATATCTTGGGATCCCCCAAAAATACCTGGGACCCCCCTAAATCACCTGGGACCCCCCCCCAAATGACCTGGGACCTCCACATACCAAAAAATACCTGTGACCTGTTCTAGGGGTCTGTTGGTCTTTACTGGGGGATACTGGGGCTGTACTGGAAGGATACTGGGGCCATACTGGGGGCGTACTGGAGGGGGGCCACTGGGGCCACACTGGGGATCTGTAACCCCCCCTAAAATACCTGTGACCCTCTCAAAACACCCATGACCCCCCTCAAAACAGCTGTAACCCCCTAAAATACCTGTAACGCCCTTAAAATAAAACCCAGAAAAACCCGGTAAAAACCAGTAAAATCTCCCAAAATGCGACGGTGGGGGCGTGGCCTGGACGGAGGGGGCGTGGCCTCCGCCGCTGTGCGTTCAGGGTGGGGCGTGGCCTCGTGAGGGAGGGGGCGCGGCCTCGTGAGGCGGCGCGGCCCGGTCGTTGCGCGGTGGCGGCAGCGGCGGGTCCGGCCCTGCCCCGGCTCGGGCCCCGGAGGAGCCTCCGAGATCCCGGCCCTGCCCCGGCGGGTGAGCGAGAACCGGGGGGAGGAGGAAAAGGAGGAGGAGGAGGAGGAGGAAGCGGCGGGGCCGCGGCGGCGGCGCTTGCGCGGGGAGGGGCCTGGGGGGGGAAGGGGAGGTGACTCTGAGGGGAGGACGGGGCGGGGCCCGAGGCGAGAGGGCGTGGCATGGCGGGGCTCGCGCGCGGCGGGGCCTGGAGAGGACGGGGCGGGGCTTGAGTGGGCTCGCGCGGGGCGTGGGCGTGGCCTGAGGGGACGGAGGGGGGGACGGAGGGTTTCTGGTCACGCCCCCCTGTGTTGGCCACGCCCCCTATGCGCTGTCTCTGTGTGTGTCCCCCCACCTTCCGTGCTGGGTCTCACCTGTCCCTGTGTCCCCCTATGCCAGGTCTGGAGTCCCACCTGCCCCCCCGTGTTTCAGGTTTGGAGTCTCACCTGCCCCCAGTATTTTATGTCTGAGATCTCACCTTCTTCCTGTCTCCCCCTCAGGTGTGACCATGGCGGGCACTGCCCCCGCTCCAGGCGTCCCTGAGCATCCCTTCACCTGCCGGGAGTGTGGGAAGTCGTTCCGCTGGTCATCCCGCCTGTCCCACCACCTGCGCAGCCACACTGGTGAGCGGCCCTACAAGTGCCCCGAGTGCCCCAAGGCCTTCAAGGGCTCCTCCGCCCTCCTCTACCACCTGCGGGGCCACACAGGTGAGCGGCCCTACACCTGCGCCACCTGCGGCAAGGCCTTCAAGCGCTCCTCGCTGCTCCAGACTCACCTGAGGGTGCACACGGGCATCCGGGCCTTCGAGTGCGCCCAGTGCGGCCTCACCTTCAAGTGGGCGTCGCACTACCAGTACCACCTGCGGGCGCACACGGGCGAGCGGCCCTACCGCTGCCCCGTCTGCCCCAAGGCCTTCAAGAACTCATCGAGCCTGCGGCGGCACCGCCACACCCACACAGGGGAGCGGCCCCACACCTGCAGCACCTGCGGGAAGGGCTTTGCGCAGGCGGCCAACCTGCGGCAGCAC